TACTTTTTCCTAATTCTATTCTATCTTTTATGTCTAGCAACTGTTTCACATTCGAAAGACTATTTTGTGTCAGTACAACTAAATAAAAACGGGTAAGTAACTAAAACCCTAACTAAATAAGGACTTGTCAATATTGTTCATATTATGCTTCTTACCTTTTAGTGATTACATTCATTTCGCAAGCCATAATTGTATGCATGTACAATCTTGACTACTACTCAAAGACATACTCATTCATTATAATTGGGTGAATGAAGATGGTAAAATGAGTGGGATTTTGAAAGGGACATGTCCATGGAAGAAGATGAAGATCTTACATATTGTTCAAGACCCAATAATTTTTGGTTCAAGAAAAAGATAAGAAGCCAAAAACCATGAAAGAAATTGAAGAGATTCAAACGTACAATGCTGTTTTCTTGTTGGTAAAGTGATCAACTTTGCTCTTATTTATTCAATAAGGAACAACAATTATTACTGGGTGATTGCAGATTAATCAACCAAAGTTGAAAAGTACCAAACTGAAGCCTGAAGCCATGACATGGACACCACTGCATAATTTGGATTATTGCAAGTTGTGTCAAAAACAAAAACGCAGAAAAAAAATAAAACCCCAAGCCTTCTTACAGGCTCCAGCTGTGCCTTTTGTCTCTGTTTGGCCAATGGCTTTTTATGGGATGTCTTTTTCTCATACCCAATATTTCAAGCTCTCTCCCTTTCCAGGTTTCAATGATGGCTAATATCTCTTAAATAATGGCATGTTTACGAATCCGTAATGGCTCATATCCACCTTACACCATTAACGTACTATTCTCCTCCATCCTTCAACTTACATCAAGTCTACTTCAACTTACATCAAGTCTACTTCAATTTACATCAAGTCTACCTAAATATCTCTTAACTAATCCGTAATGGCTCATATCCACCTTACACTATAAACATACTATTCTCCTCCATCCTTCAACTTACATCAAGTCTACTTCAACTTACATAAAGTCTACCTAAATATCTCTTAAATAATGGCATGTTTATGAATCCGTAATGGCTCATATACACCTTACACCATAAACGTACTATTCTCCTCCATCCTTCAACTTACATCAAGTCTACTTCAACTTACATCAAGTCTACCTAAATATCTCTTAAATAATGGCATGTTTACGAATCTGTAATGGCTCATATCCACCTTACACCATAAACGTACTATTCTCCTCCATCCTTCAACTTACATCAAGTCTACTTCAACTTACATCAAGTCTACCTAAATATCTCTTAAATAATGGCATGTTTACTAATCCGTAATGGCTCATATCCACCTTACACCAGAAACGTACTATTCTCCTCCATCCTTCAAGTTACATCAAGTCTATCTAAATATCTCTTAAATAATGGCATGTTTACTAATCCGTAATTGAATTAGGGGAAATTGAATTAAGGATGAATTGAATTAAGGAGGAATTTGAATGAGGAGAATTAGATTCCGGATTCCTATTGAAGTTGTTTACTAAACCATATGGATTAAGGGGAGTTAGATTCCATATTCCTATTGAAGCTGTTTACTAAACCATATGGAATTGAGGTAGAAGTGGTACTAATTACTCAAATATCCTTGTTGTTGGGTTAAAGTAGATGACAAATTTGAAATTTTGAATATTATTTGAGGATATAATGAGTAAAAAAGATGAATTTCAAATGGGTTCATTCTCCAGGAATTAGAATACCACCTCATACTCATGAATTGAATTCCTCCAAAATTAGGAATTCAATTCCTAATTTTGTGTGGGCCCCACTTGCTTTTCAATTTCTTGATGTGAAGTAAACGTAAGAATCCTTCATATGCAGAATTCAATTCCTAATGAGAATAGTCAAACAATATGGGTAGAATATTTTTAGATATACTTCATTCTCCGAAAGGAGGTATTTATAATACAGGTTACAAACCCTAGTAGGGTTTAATTAGGAAATAAGTGGAATCCTAATTACATAATATCTATACAAAAGGAAAAATAAATAAAACCCAAATAGAATAGGATATATTCTACTCGCCAACACTCCCCCTCAAGTTGGAGCAAAGACGTCACGCATGCCCAACTTGTCAAGCGAGTTGAGAAAGATACTTGTAGAAACAGCTTTCGTAAGAACATCAG